GCTTTGGTCCTTGGATCAAGCAAGAAAGAATGTCTCTTGTCAAGTTTTTGAAGGACTTTGTACAAAACACTCGCTAAATGTAACACAAAACAACAAATATAAGCAGAGCTCCACATGCACCAATGGAGCCACATAGCTAAGAAAATCTATCCATCCGAGAAAAATCACGTGACCGTACACAGACAGCCCAACCATCCACCCACACCACAGGGGCAAACAATGTTTAATCTTACACTTTCCACTTAGTTTGGGAGCCTGCAACCTGATATTGCACATTAATTTTGTGATCAATAAATAATATTTTGAGAGCTGTCAAAGCAAGGTATCCACTGACCAGTATCATCTGGCTGTATTGTGGTATCAATCCATTGACATTGGGTATTTTTTTTGAAAATATCCCCTAGGTTTCGCTCTCCTCTCTTGTCAGGAGGCACTCAGAAAGCAATGCAATACAACACTAAAAGCGGTACAAAAACGTCGAAGAATGGCAGCAGCAATGTGCACAATCCTGCCAACAACAGTCAGTCATCACAGGGCTGAAACTTAACTCCAGTGCTTGGTGGCCAGCCGGGCCAGTTTGCTTGAATTCTTAGTCGCCCAGGTCAACATGTATAGTTTAAATTAGAAGTGATATCCGATATCATAATCCAAGTAAAAATGTTTAAATGTGTCAAAATAAATTACGAAATTCTCTTGCTGAAATTCAGATCTTACATACACTTTCTTCTCTTTTCTTTCTCTCTCTCTCTCTTCCTTTTTTTTTGACAAACCAGACTGGTGTCTTGAATGGCAAAACCTGGTCTTTGTCCGGTCAAATGACCACTCTACAGTCAAAAGGCATTTGCAAGCTTGTATGCAATGTTAGAAGTTGTTGGAGTTGTCTAACACATGAGGTGTTCAAGATCTGACCGTTCCAATAGAGCACGTTACCAAATACCCTAAACGTTTGGCTGAGCAAGTTCATTTGTGAAGTGACCAAGCAAAATGGACAGTGTTATCCGCCCCAATTCACTTTATTTGATTGAGATATATCAATAAATTTTGTGTCAATTCAGTATTTAACAACTGCACTATCAACTTTTGCTTTGAGAAAAAGTAACATTTGCAGGCATGTAAATGTTTACATTGTATGTGGGCAGTAAAATAATGAAATTCTTAACGCAATTTATTATTCTTTTGTTGTTCCTGCAAGAATTTCGCCCAGAAGGCAGAGGCCCAAAGAGGCACTCTAGTAACTTGCGCGTGGGAAATATTTTGATTTGCTTAAACAGGGGCCCCAAGGATCGGTGGGTAATGATGACGTTTTTTGTTTGTGCCCGCAAGTACAGGGTTGCCACTCATCAGAAAGTTAAAAATTCCCTGACTTTTCACTAACCTTTAAACAGTTTAAACTGACCTTTTATTAATGAGAAACAATCGATGTTTACATTCACTTTAGCTTTTTTTACAGGCCATCAATATTTTTGTCTTCATTTTCCACCTCTTTAGGAGGATGAAGGAATTTGGAAGAAAGCATTCACAATGAAAACCACTGACCACAACTACTACATGTGTCAGGCTTAGAGTGTTAAATTGATTGCTTTGCTTGCTTTGCAGCATAGTTTTCCTCTTTTCCAAAAGAAAATCCATTTTAAAGTCTGGAAGAAAACTTATGAACGATAAAACAGAAAACAGAATTCCCTAACTTTTCACTGACTTTGACAATATCAAAGATTTTCCCTGACTTTTCCCTGAACTTGAAAAGATTTTGTTTTTCCCTGACTTTTCTCTGACCATGGCAACCCTGAAATAAGAGATAGTATCGTGTAAAACAGAAAATCCTGAACAGACCACTTAGGTATATTTTGTGATATTTAGTGTACAGTCATACTTTGATACTCTTTAGTGTTACATGTTATCAGTGACATTCTGTGGAGCACCTGTTTTAAAAGTTATGGACCAAAAGACTTTCGTTAATGGCAGACGAAGTTATGAGGTGTTTTTTTGCCAGACACGAGTTTACAAATTAGATCTACTGCTCCAATTTGAATCGGCACATAGCTATAGATAGAATTAAGGAAGATGGGGAAGAGACATCGAGGTGGTATAAGACAAATTTTCTGCAAGGCAATTATAGAAAATACCAAGCAATGGCTATAGCAACGGACACACAACAAATGGAGCTAGTGATTGATGATTGCAGAATTAACTTCACCGATGCATTCAAACTGCTAGGCATAATTATTGATAAGGATTTAAATTTCTCGCAGCATATATCAGAGGTCTGCATAAAAACCAGGAAAATGATTGGTGTTCTTCAAAGGCTAAAGAATCTAATCCCGATGAACGCAAAACTACGGATATATAAAACTGCGGTTTTACCCCATCTCACATACTGTAGCTTGGTGCGGCACTTTTGTCATGCAAGCGACAGAAACGAGCTAGAGAGAGTTAATGAAAGAGGACTATGTACAGTCTTCACAGATCGAGACTCTCCTTATGGTGACCTTCTTACACACGCTGGAATGACGAGTCTATATAACATGAGATTACAAGATATCGCTATCTTTATGTTCAAAATAAGGAATAGATTACTGCCGTACGACATACTAGAACTCTTCTCGTCATCGCCTTCGAACTACAACCTGAGGAACTCGGACTTTCACATCCAAAGGGTAAAAACTGTTAAATATGAAACGCATTCCCTCAGATTTTATGGGCCATTTTTATGGTCAAAATTGAATATGAAGGACAGAAACGAGACCTCCTTAAACAGGTTTAAAGCAACTATAAGGAGAAAAGATCTGAGCAAATTGGTTAGTGATAATCCATGCAAAGGGTGCCACCTGTGTGACTCATAATTCATACACAGAAAATATCATAACTAGTAGAGTTGATATGTTATAAAATTGTATATATAGTTTGTTCTTATTATTTTATTACATAGGTGTATTTACGAAGCACATTGAATATCGTGTATCTTTTAAGTAGTTTTAGAATAGTTAAATCTTATTAGCTTATAGTATTATGTATATATATTTCGTATTAATAAGTAATTTAAGTAGTGACCCTGATTAGTAGGCCTGACGGCAAGCTAGAAGATTAGACACTGTCTTAAATAAAGTTGTTGATTGATTGACAAATCTTTGATTGGAAACAACTTGCCAGACATAATCTCTCTTTCTTTGCATCTTTGGGGGAGTAAGACTCAATCCCAAACAAGCAAGACAGTTGAATCAACCGCTAGCATATCACTGGCAGAATCCGGGCTGGATTATAGACCATTACAGAAATTCACCGACACTCAAATTCTGTGCTGTCTTATTCTCATCTTACAGATGTTTTTCTATTTAAACAATGATTTCAAGCGACCTCCGTTCCTTCTGCAGCCAGGAATGAGAGTTGCTGTAGCATCTTTTCTTTTTTTGTCCATTTTTAAAGACTTTTTGGTCTGATTTTGAACCTTTTTGGCACCTACTTACAAAGGACACAATACAATTATCACAGCACGACATTATAAGTAGGAGTAGTGACCACAAAATTCCCTTTTCCTCATTTACTTAATTATATGCTTATCATTCGTAAAGTTTATCTGTGGGTCTGAAGAGAAAACAAGACACCACCAAGTATGGATGGGTGTAGCAATGAGCAGTAGGCTAGGACCGAACTACACTTGTCTGTTCGTCGGCCACGTCGAAGAGCAAATCTTCCAACAGCATCCCGGAAAGAAGCCTGACCTCTACAAACGATATATTGATGACATCACAGGTGCAGCTTCCTGCAGCAAAAAAAAAATGACAACTTTGCTGAATTTATCAACAACTTTCATCCAAGCCTTAAATTCACTTGGGCCATCAGTGACAAACAACTGCCTTCTCTAGACCTCCTGCTGAAACCAACACCCCAAGGACTAACTACTTCCATCCACTACAAAGACACAAACTCAAACTCATATCTCACACACACTTCATCACATCCCATCCGATGCAAGAACTCGGTCCCCTACAGCCAGTTTGTAAGCGTCAAACGAATATGAAGTGAGGAGAACGACTACAAGACCAAAAGCAAAGAAATGGCATCATTCTTCCTGCAATGTGATTATCCACTAGCAGTTGTAGATAGAGCCCTTTAACACGCTGACACTATCCCCCGAGATACAGCCTTACGACCACCTAACAACGGACAATCCAGCAGAGAAGTCATCCCCTTAATCTTAACATACAACCCCATCAACCACCATGTAAAGAACATCCTGTCAAGAAACTTCATCCTTTTAAAATCTGACCCTGAAAATAAGGAACTGTTTGATAACTGATGATGAACCAAATGGAACCTTTCCCTGCCGTCCGTCCACGATGCAAGACCTGTGCCCATACCAACCCAGCCTCCCAGAGGGACCATACAGCAGAGGTTCTCTGCCTTATTTTTAAATGCAAAACTCTACAGCCGCGAAACCGGAAGTAGGCCTGGGGACAGGTTCTGGCAGATCTGTCTCAAAACAGCTGACCTACCCTTCAATTTTATTCAGTCACACAACAGATGATACAATGGAACTCTTCACAACACCAGGGACAGGCGTAGGCGGAGGGCTTCAAATGTTGCCACATTTGGATAAAATGATGCGCGTTCAGTGTAACAGCATCTTCCACTGATAAAGGGACAGTAGTCCCGAAACGTCTGGATTTTCAAACATTTTATGCTAAGAACACAAAGACAAATTTTTATTGTAATCACCACCAAGTATACATGGTTTTTAGAAAAATCATTGTGGCAAAACATGAAACTGAATGACTTATTAGCGTTAAGATTGAAACAACTGGCTTCATTATAAAAAAAAATGGTTTAGATCTCTGAAGAATTTTGTTTGAAATACGTCTTGTTCTTTATCTTATTGCCTGATTAAGTGCAATTTCTATTTGTCATAATTGCTTAGTTTAAGTGTGACTCAGACTGGGGAGACTGTTGGAGATGTAGGACGTGTTTCGCAACGCTCCGCTCATCGTAGATTGGTTTGGTCGTCTATGGAAGTTTCCAGTGTTTATATAACCCCACAAAGAAAATCGAGAAATCTAGCTACATCTAGCAGCTCAGAAGAATCGTCACCCCAAGGAAAAAAGTTGAGACATTCGTACTCTCCTGACTCAAAGAACTCAGATGACGAAGACCAAGTAATGGCGACTCTGAATCTCACAGAAGGTGTTACAAAGAAACTGGACCTAATTTTAGAAAGGCTCAGCAAACTAGACTCGAAGATGGAGGAATTGAACAAAACTGTCAAAGGTTTACAAGGCAAAGTTTCCTCTCTCGAAATAGATGTTGTTTCAATTAAAGATAAGCAGAAGAGTCTTGATAACAAATTCACACATGTAGAGAGCAATTCCAAATTTGTAGACAGCCACATTAAAGAGCTTCAGGAGATGGTGGAAGAAAGAAAAGATGTAATTAGTGCCTGTCGTAAACAAATTCTGTATCTCGAAGCGTACAGCCGCAGAGAGAATTTAAAGTTCGAAGGAATTCCTGAATTGCCAAAATTGTCCGGTCAACAGAATGCAACATCGAAGGAGGACACGAAAGAAGTCTTAGCTAACTTTATGGAAAATGTCCTTGAGATTGAAGATGCCAAGGATATGGAACTCCAGCGAGTACATAGGATTGGCAAACCGAAGAGTGAAAATGGAAATGGCAGCCGAACCATCATAGCTCGTTTTCTGAGATTCTCGGACAGGAGAACATGTTTTTAA